CAAGGCCTGCGCGGGCCTTTTCCTTGGGTGCATCCTCACGTAGGCAAATCTGGTTGCTGGTGTGCACCCCTGGGACTAAGGCATGGCTCCTTGTGGGAGTTCGGGTGGAATCAAGAAGTCCTGGGATGCCCATACATGCAATTATGAGGCTTCTTGCAACGTGGGGACTTTACTGGGTTGGGTAGGGACCCTGGGAGTCTGAGAATTCTAAATTTAAACCTGGCCTCCCTGATCCTTATGAAGGGGTGTGTGTGTGCGCCTAAATATGTCAAGGTGGGCAGATAGAACATATTTTATTTAACAGTTTGCTAGCTTTAGTTATAGCATTTAATTTTTTAGATAACTGGTATGTGGGCCTCTATTTGAGCTGTTTTCCCTGGGCCCACAAACATTTGGCCTGGGCCTGCCTCTCCCCCCTTCCCCCAGGCTAGGGGCCAGCTCTGATTCACGCTGCCCTGCAAGCACTAACTGCAGTGATCCGGCGTGGGGGCAAGGGCAGGAGCCTTCATTTCCTTTCACTTTAGCCTCTCCATACTCCATTTCTGGATCTTTTCATTATATGTGTTTTTGCCAAATGTTTATTGCTGATTTGTATCCATGTATTTTCTTTTGATTTTAAAAAATAGTTTACATTTTTACTGAATGAAGTATAAAACACATACATTCATAGACACATAGGTGGACAGTTCAATCAGCTTTCATCTTATCAGGAAACAGAATGTTACTAACACCCTAGTAGCCCTCTTTATGTTCTTTTCTAGTAATTATCACTCTCCAAACGGTAATATCACCCTGACGTCTAACAGCACGGATGAATTTTGTCTCATTGCACTCTGTTGAAGTGGAATCGCATGCACGTATGCTTTTGCGTTGGGCTTCTCTTGCTCTACATCATATGCATCTTTGGGTGGATGTAGGAAAAGCAATTTTTTATTCTGTTTTTCTTTTTATCCCTGCTTCCATGCATCTGAGCTCTATAGGTAACCATTGTAACCTGCCTAATGAGCATTTTATTAGTTATTTTTTTAATATGCTTTTTTTCTGGTGTGTGTGTATGTAACTTTACATAGATGAATAACATTGTTTTATATCTCATTATTTTTCTTACTTTTCTCACATGTCATTATGGCTCTAAGGTATGTTGCCTGTGGCTAATCCTTTGCTTCTAACTGCTGCAACGTCTCCACTATACTTTATCTACTTATTCACCCCATGGTGAGTGTGAAGATAGATCTTGTTTTATTTTGTACTTCTCTGATAGCAATAGGTTTGAGCATCTCTTTGTATACTGAGTGGCACTTCAGGGTTTCTATTCTATAAATTGTTCTACATAGTGTGCCCATTATATTTTTTGTTGATATTGAAGTTCCTAATAAATACCAGTGAGATGTCTTCTTCCATTCTGTTGCATTTCTATTAAGTCTATCTCCGGTGTCCTTTAGTGAACAAAAATCTGAATTTTTGAGTGTTATCATATTCACCAATTTATTTGGCTTTCTGGTTTCTCATCCTTAGATAACAAAGATATTTTCCTACATTTTCTTCTAATTAGAGGGGATCTATAGTGGTAGAGGACTGAGTTCCTGCTAGAAGGAGGTCAGGAAAAAAGGGCAGAATAGCTATTAAGCAATAACAGCTCTCTCAATATCCCTTCCACCCTCCTTATAGTCAGGTCAAAAAGCTAAAAGTACATATCCCAGTTTCCCTTGTAGCTGGAGCCCTGTATGTGAAGCAGTTTCTAGTATCTACACACACTTGTGTGAGATTGGGAAGATGGGGGCATTGGGAAGAGTGTGAGGTGGCTCTCACACTTCAGTACATATCAGAATCACTGGAGGGTGTTGGGAACTGCTTTGCCTGGTTTCAGGAATTGTAAACTGTCTCCCATGCCTAAGGTTGAGTGAGTGACCTCTGGAATGCGAGCCACAAAGAGACAAAGCTTGTCTCTGATAGCAAACACTGCCTCTGCTTCATCTCCCTGTGCCCAGAGTATGGTTGGATGGTGAGAGACAGGTGAGACCCCTCAGAGGAGGGGCAACCTAGGCCAGACACGATCACTTGGGAGGCCATCATGGAAGGACTGGGCGGGGGTGGGGGGGCGGCGGGGCTGTGACAAAGAGGGAGTGATGGACCCTCGCCCCCTGGCTTTGATGAAGCCCAAGTCCCCAGATCCTCTGGGAGAAGGGTTCCTGGATCTAATCCCCTTAAGCCTAAAGACCTGTGACAGGAAAGACGGTGTAACCTTTTACCAGGTATCTAGTGCCCGGGTAATCTGGCAAGATAAACAATTCTTAACAATCCTGTGAGACCTGTGTTGCTGAGTATGCTTTTAGTTAAATGATAAAGGCCCAAGCAGAACGTGAGTTTATGTTCCCAAAGTTCTGTAGCCTTTTAGCTGACAGACACTGACTTAGGAGAAGCCCTAATGGTTCTTTGTATACTATCTACTGTTTACTGCCTGACAATGATTATTAAGTTGTACCTGAACTCCTATGCAAAAAAAAAACAAAAACAAAAACAAAAAAGCCCAATAAAAGGCTGTCTAGGTAAGGGTCAGCATGCTCTCTCTCTCCTTGAGAGAGAGTTGCCGGGCCCCTCCAAGCCGCTTTCCCCTTGAGAGAGTGGCCAGACTGTTCGGAGGCTCTCCCCCCTTGAGGGAGTAGCTGTGCCGGCCCTTTTCCTCCACAGGACTCAGTAGTCCGTGTGAATTTGTCTCATGTCTCATCCATGACACTGTGGGCACTGCTGGTCAGTGCACACATCAGGAGGGCCCCACCTGGTATTCTGTAGGTGTGGAGCAGAGCCCTCAAATTTTCATTGCCAGCAAGTTTCCATGTGATACTCAAACTAGGGTGCAGTTGTTTACTTACCAGCTCTGTGAGCGTGACAGGCATTTTTCCATGGTGGCAGGGGTCAGAGTGGCAGCAGAACTTCCTGACCTCTGAGTCATACCTATTGTGGAGTCAGTTTGGAGGCCCCTCACCTCTTCTTCAGATATTAAAAAAACTGTAAGCAAGTTATTCCTTATACGCAGTCTCTTTCAGCTTGAGAAATCTAGTTCTCTTTCTCATAATAAACCACTGATTGATACAATATTATACCAAAAAAATAGCTAGAAATGACAACAGGGTGTCCACAGATACTTCACACTATATCAGGCTGCTAATTTTAAAACAAGCATCTTTGATGTCATTATAAACAAAGGAAGAAAGTCTGTCCCATGGCCACTGGATTTGCTGAGTGAGCTTGGCAGATCTATCAGTTATTTAAGCACAGCAAGAGATTCTGCAACATGTGTAATGTGGGATGAGCAGCAGCTGGGTTTGTTTGGGGTGGAGGGTTTCCCAGGATATGGTGGGACTTTCAGTTCTAAAAGTAGGATGATTTGGTCACTCTAGTGTAAGCTTTCCTTAGTCATCTTGGTGAAGTTTCTCATGAATGGGAAGAGGGTAGGGCAGATGGTAAAAGGTGAGAGTGGGGGAAAGTAGGAGGTCTTCCCAGAGTGTATCCAGCCATGTAATACAAAAAGAGACATTTACTGAAGAAGATACAAGGAACATTGAACATAGAACAATGACACCTCAGTCCCCTTCAAAGTAGGCCCCTTGGGACCTCACACAGTTCTCCCAGTCACCATCAGGTGTCCTATGGTATTTTCCTGAATCTCATCAATGGCCTGAAATCTCCTCCTTTTCAAAGGTGATTTTAGTTTTGGGAAATGACAAAAGTTGCAAGGCTCCAAATCTGGGCTGTAGAGGGAGTGAGTCATCTGTCTGATTCGATGTTTCTCAAAAATCTCTGCACAATGTGATGATTGAGCAGATAGGTTGTGATGAAGCTGCCAATCACCAGTTGCCCATAGCTTTGGCCTTCTGAATCTTTGGAGTAGTGTCCACAGAACAATGTTGAAGCTTAATGCAAAATTTGATGCAGATTTGTTGATCTTCTTGCTCAGTCATTTTGAATGCAATGGTCACACACTACATACACATACTCACTCAATGGCATCTACTGTCCCCACTGACTAGTACAGTGAAGTCGTCATTGTTCACACATGTGCATTCCACTCCAGTCTCCTTGACTGCCAGGTTACATCCATGTCACAAAAATTATTCTCATTTTATTAACAATGGTTGGACTTTTTCTGGACAGACCTTGTATTTTCAGGGGGCATTTGAAATGAGAAGAACATAAGTAGGCAGACTTAATAGGCTGTTCAAAGGGAGTGTTCACCTATAGCAAAGGGGGTAATGATTGAGAGCCAATAGTGTGGGCTCTAGAGTCACTTAGGCTTCGGTGTAAATCCCAGTGTCTTTGTTTACCAGGTATGTGACCTTGAACAAGTGACTAAACCATGTTTCCATATCTGCAAAGTGGGATAACAAAAATACCTCACTATTGTAAAGTATAATGAAAATAATACATATAAAGCATCGAGAAGAGTTGTAGACCCAGAATAAGCACCAAAACCCATGTTAACAGCTAGTATTATTGTTACTAAGAAAATTACATAAAGAGATCAGGTAGAAATTCTTGTGCAGGAATGACTAGAAAGGAGAGTAAGAGTCAAAATGATAAATGGCCTGTGTTATTAGGTCCTGGTGGCTTTCAAATTCACCTCTCTTTGCTTTGTGTACTCCTAAATATGAGAGAGAGAGACAGACAGACAGACATACACACACACACACACAAATTGGGTTGAGTAATATTTTCTGTCTAAAGATAATAAAACAATGATGAGTCTGAAAATTCAATGCAAAAGGCTCAGGATAGAGAAAATGAACCCTAAATGAAAGAATACTTGAACTTGAAAACATGAACTTCAAAAAGCAATGACAGTAGTGAGATGGGTGCAATGAAGAGGGAAGAAGCAAAGGAGGTATTTACCCAACCTTGCAGAAAAGTGATTGCTCCCCATTGTTGGATGGGCATTCAGAGGACTTCTTGTGGGTATCTATAACAATTACTTTTCAAATTAATGAAGAATAATAGCTTTTGCATCAAAACACTTTTCTCCTCAGTGTTTTCTGCATGGCAGCCTTTACCTCCTTGTTCCTCAAACTGTAGATGAGGGGGTTCAGCATGGGGATCACTGTGGTGTAGAACACAGAGGCCACGTTCTCCTGGGCCAGGGAACTGGCTGTAGAGGGTTTTAAGTACATGAATGCAGTAGATCCATAAAATATGCCCACAGCTGCAAGGTGGGAGCTGCAGGTGTAAAAGGCTTTGGACCTTCCTTTTGTAGTGCTGATGCGGAGTATGCTGGAGAAGATGAAGGCATAGGAGACAAGGATTGCTAAGCCAGTGACTGTGATGTTGAATCCAGCCTCAAAGTAGACTATCACCTCAACATCATAAGTGCTAGAGCAGGAGAGCTTCATGAGGGGGAGGATGTCGCAGAAGTAATGACTGATGAGGACCCCACAATAGGGCAGTTGTAACATGAGGCTGGTCTCTATTGTTGAGCCAATAAGCCCTATTACATAAACCACAGCCACCAGCAGGGAGCAGACATGATGAGACATGATGATGTTGTAAAGCAAAGGCCTGCAGATGGCAACATAGCGGTCATAGGCCATGACTGTCAGCATGTAACACTCAGCAATGACGAACACTAGGAAGAAGTAGAGCTGTGACATGCACCCTGCATAGGAGATGATGTTTAGTTCTGACAAGAAGTTCACCAGCATTCTAGGGATAATGACAGAAGAGTAGCAGAGATCCATGAGTGACAGATTGCTGAGGAAGAAGTACATAGGGGTGTGAAGCTGAGCATTCAGAGCAATTAATGTCATCATGCCCAGGTTCCCTATCACGGTGACGGAGTAGATCCCAAGGAAGACGAGAAAGAGGGGGAGCTGGAGCTCTGGTCTCTTGGTTAATCCCCCGATAATGAACTCCACCACTGTAGAGTGATTTTCTGCAGCCATTCTCCTTTGTTTGGGAGCCCTGTGAGGGGAAGAGAGAACTCCATGAGAGGATGCATCTGGGACTGCTTGGTGAAGCTAGTTTTGTGTATTTGGAACCAGCTGAATGATTCTGGGTTCTTTTTGAATGCATTCTTCCCTCCTCTTGCTGTCTCTGAGAGAAAGTCTAGATCCTGGGTGTTCCAAAATTCAAGGAGGTGGGAGGGAAACAGGGCCAAGATTGGGTCTTTTCACACTTGCATGTTTCTCAGATATCCTAGGGCAGTTCTTCTTAACGTGCAGTCCAAAGACCAGCTGCATCAGCATCACCTGTACATTAGAGAGGCAAACTCTCAGGCCTCAGCCCAGACTTACCAAGTCAGAAACTCTGGGACTGGGGCACCTCAGTCTGTTAGGAACTGCCTTGACTGGCTTCAGGAGTTGTAACCACCTCCCATGGCTAAGGCTGAGTGAGCGACCTCTGGACTGTGAGCCACTAAGGAGACAAAGCTTAATCTCTGGCAGCAGTGCTGCTTCTGCTTCATCCTCTGCCCCCAATGGTTGGTCGGTTAGTCAGTGATGGGTAAGACCCCTGGGGGGGGGGGTGGGCAACCTAAGCCAGACACAATCACTAGGGAGGCCCACAAGAAAGGACTTGGGGGACTGCAGCAAAGAGGGGGTGATGGACCTTTGCACCCGGCTATTCTGACTTAGCCTTAGTCCCCATTTCTGTCTGGGAGAAGCACTTCCTGGCTCTAATCCACTTGAGCCTAAAAACCTATCACAGGGAGGCAGTGCAGCCCTTTGTGGGCTAGAGAGAGTTCTGGGGTGATTGGGTGTAAGAAAGAATTCCTAAAGTCCTGTGAAGTCTGCTTTGCTAAGAGTGCTTTCATTCACATGATAAGGGTCCTATCAGGAAATGAGTATGTCTCCCAAAGTTTTTGCAACCCCTATATCTGACAGACACTGACTCAGAGTAAGCCCTCAGATTTCTTTGAAATGTTATCTGTTGTTCGATCCTTGTTACCTGACACTGATTGAAGAGTTTTACCTGTATTCCTGTGTGTTCTGAACCTAATAAAAGCCCTTAAGAAAGGGGTTCTTGGTTTTTCTCCTTTGAGAGATTGGCCACCTCTCCTCCTCAAGCAGATCATGTCTTGGTAGTATTATTTTCATCTGTGACAGATGGGGGTACTTTTGGGCAAAGTTGCCCCCATAGCAGTCTAGGCTTACCCTTTTTTCCAGGCAATGCCAATATGTACTAGAGATCGAGACCCCCTTATCTGTAGGTAATAAGCAGTATATTTTATGTTTTGTAGCTGGAGATGTACTTAGCTTCAAAAATGAAATAAAAAAAATAAATTTAGCTGTAATCTATGCAATTCCTAAGTATTTACTGCATATGAATATATGAATGCCCATCTCAAATTTATGCAGTGTCAGGATGATATAGTAGTTAAATCTGTATCACTGAGTACAAATTGATTTTTGTCTCTGAAAGATGAAGAAGTTAGTGATATCAGTTCCAAAAGTGGTTTTAAAAGTAATATTGGCCAATGCGCCTTCAGAAAACTTTTTGAAGCATTCAGCTGCTATAAAAATGTGAGTTGTCATTAGGTTATTAGAATCGTTTCTTTGTTTTTCACTGAACTTGAGGCCATGAGACAGAGGATCTTAACACTGACTATATGTTATAACTACTTGGAGCCTTTAAAAGTAAAGAATGATATGTGGGTTCTACCAACAGCAGTTGATTTCATTGATCTGTGTTGCAGCCTGGGCCCAGGCACATAGTATACTCCAGATTAAGTGCTCAACAGCCATTATTATTATTATTACTACTACTGTTATTATCATTATTCTCAGACAATAATATTGAATAAACCATGGCCCCATTATCCACCTACTGGCATAGTACTCAAATTGTAGACGTGAACCTAGGAAGCACGGATCTTTGTTGCCGCGTATGATACCTATGGACAAATTGTGAGATGAATTTCCTAAGGTAAAAACCATAAACCCTCAGTATTTTCATGCTTCCTTGTATAATTACTAACTCTTTCATAGTGCTCTTTTAAGAGCTCTTTTAAGGGCACTATCAAAGAATTATTAACCTCTGCTACAATTTTTGGGTATGAGGAGAAACATGTTTAGAGTAGGCTTTTTATTCCATTTTTTACACTGAGAAAACTGAAGCATCATACTCAAAATTACTGGGACTTGGGATGCAGACTGCTTCCCTGGTCTTTGGCTTCTCCCCTTGGCCCATGTGTGCAGCCTTATGTACCTGCACACCTCCAGCTCTAAGGAATGCTGTTCAGCGTGGTTTCCACCTGATGTCTTAGGTTGTGCATGGAGTAGGAAATAAGGGCAATTTCTATGATCTTTCCTTCTCTAGGAAACTGAAGCTCTAAAGGTAAATATGTTATCCTATCATGCAGTGAGCAAGAGGCAGAACTGGACCCCAAACCAAGAACTTCTGGCTACCAATTCGTTTTGTTCCTCTTAAGCTCTGTTGTTTTGCTGTAGCTTTTCTTTGTGTAGAAATTTGTTATCATTCACTAAACTTAAGTTATTGAATTTTCGTAGGTAGAGGAAAGAGTTTATTGGTAATTTTAGGTACATTGAAGAAAACTAACAAGGTAGTAAGTATATCTGCACTGTAGAAAATGAGAAATACAAATAAGGAAAATTAGTAAATGAATAAATAAGAAAGAAAAGAGAAGGAAATAAATATAAAAAGTAAAAAAGTAAAAAGTTAAAAAGAAGAAGAAGGAAAAGAAATACAAACAAGCAAAAATAAAATGCCATTTTTTGCTCCATGGAGATCAACACTGGCAATGACCACCTTCTACATTTTTCAATGCATGTATGTATTTACATAAGTAAGTGTAGAAATAGCTTTAAAACACTGTAACCTGTTTTTTAATGTAGCAATTGAAAATCCTTTGTCTCATTTGGGTCCTATAATAACAACTTTGTCACTCACTGTTTTTTGTTTACTTAGGTGTAAGACTCTTTGAATCCTTAGGATGTAGTTAAAGAGAAGAAAATCTGCATTGCACCATGACCTTTACTTGTTCACTTATCGGAAGTGGGGCATTAAGAGGTATTTAACTTCGTAATAACTACTACCAGAGATAGCTAGGATTATTTGACTATTATTTCCACTTATTACAAAGGAGAAAATAAATTTCCTCTAGATAAAATAGATTAAAATTTCTCACATATTCTCTTGTACCTAATTTCCACCTCTGAAGACAATCAGAAAGACAGAAAATCCACCTGAATATACTGTTCCCAGAATTCAGAGTGGTTTAGAAAGCAGTACAGAGTTGATACCATTCACCGAGCACAGTGCAAATGGGAAAATCCTAGATAGTATTGCTTTAATTTTTGCCCCCACAGTCATCTAATGACATAAATAGGGAGATGTGGCCCCCACATTGGATATAAATTATTACCTCCAGTTTCACCAGACCATCATTGGAGGCTTGTGGCTACTATTAAGAACACAGCACGCAAAGAAATAAACACAGAGATGAAGGTGTTTGGTTGGAAGATGAACCTATGGTTGGAAATATCCTGCATTAAAAACAGGAGTTAATGAAAGAAATATTGTTTTCATAAAATTGCTTTAAATCTGTAAGTACCTGTGCTGAGGCAAAATGGACAGTCTCCTGGAAGTTTAGAGGATATCCTTTGTTTCAAGAATGAGGAAGTAATCTTGGTTGTAGGTCCTTGGATTTCATGACTTGGAATACCTCTTTCCAGCCCCTTCTTGCCTGTAAGGTCTCTTTTGAGGAATCAGCTGACAGTCTGATAGTAATGGCATAATCAATAAAAACAAAAATTAAAAAAAGGAAAAAAACAAAACAAAAACAAAAAAAAGAATCAGGAAGTAAATATCAGAAAATGCGAGGACATACAGTTTTATTTCTAGTTCTACATTTACTTAAAGGGGGTATCACAGCCATAAAAAGGGGGCTCACTGAGATCGGGAGGCCTGGGTGTCTTTTTATATGTACCTGGGCAAAAGCTCTCATGGGATGAAGTCACTGTCGAGACTGGAGGAGCCCTTACTACAGGGGCAATTAAAGTGTTGGTGTACACCTCTGCTCTGAATCAAGTTTTTTCTCCCAGGTATGGTAATTTTCCTTTTACTGAGAGAGTCATCTTGCAGGTTAGAAAACTTAGAATCTAATGCCAGCTTGTAAATAATTCACGGACAACAACCCAACCATCCCCATCATCACCCTCCCCATCATCACTATCACCATCATCATCATCACCACCACCACCACCACCACAAAAACCACCTCAGTCATTACCATCAAAATCATCACCAGTTACTACCACATGCTTATTCATCATTAGGCACAATCGACTTGACTTAAAATGATAATTTTGAGGGTTCTTTAAGCTAATTCAAAAATTTTCTAATGCCTATCATACAATTTTAGCAAAGGGATGTGAAATCATAAGGTACATTAAATGGTCAACCTGCCACCATACCTGCACACTGACAGAGACATGAGAAGATAGACTTATAAGAACTCCTCAGACACATATTCTCATTCATAAGTGAAATACGTTCATAAGCAAATGTACTTTTCAAGAATATATTGTGTAATATATAATCCACAACATTTGCTAATGAAGATTTTTAAGGCTATTTTGAGGTAATTATAGATTCACATGAAGTTGTTAGAAATATTATATAGAGATCCTTTGTATCCTTTATACAGTTTCCCCCAGTGATTTGCAACATTATATGACAACACTCTCTGGAGAGTGTGCATATGCCAAATACAATTCACTGATCTTATTCAGATTTCCCCAGCTTTGCCAATACTCATCTGTATGTGTGTGCATACATTTAGTTTGATGCAATTTTATCACATGCATAGGTTCCTGTATGCACTACACAGTTCAAATAAAAATACATCATTTTGGTTTTCTAATACTCAAAATAATATTTTGGTTTCTTATGATCCTGCAAGGGTGACTAGTAATTTTTCTTTAGC